GGGGGGGGGGGGGGGGGGGAGTTGGAAATGAGCGAGGGGCACAGCCGGAACACGAGCGACAGGGGGAGTGCGCCATGGATGGCACGGGCCTGGACGCACCCAGCCAGCAGGGCGCTCGACAGGCTGGCCGCCACGGCCCCGGCCAGGTCGCGCTCGGCCGGCGTCGACACCTCGGCCCCGATGCTGGCCAGCTGGGCCCGGTCGACCGGCAGCAGCGAGTCGCCCGCCCGCACGGACGCCAGGCGCCGGGTCAGCCCGTCCAAAGGGGCCGCCGCCGCCAGCGACGCGCACAGGGCCACCAGATCCGTCGAGTGCCGGCGCCACACCACGTCGCCCAGGGTCAGCGCCAGCAGGGCCGACGGGGCATCCATGTCGTGGTCTGCGTGGCCGGTGGCGGTGGGCGTATGTTTTGTTTTTTGTTTTGTTTTTTTTTCGCCATTTGCATCCCATCAACCGCGCGCGCCCTCATGTGTCAGTCCCGGCGCGGCCATGCGTGAGGGTGCTGCCACAGGCACAGGGCAGCCGCCATGGCCGGCGCGCCTGCCAGCGGCCGAGCACGCACCGGGAGATTCGCGATCCACCGACGGGGGAAGGAGGTGCCCCAGGGCCGCGGCCACCAGGGCCAAGTGCCCCAGGCCCCGGCCCGGCCCGAGCTCAGCCAGCCAGCCATAGAAGGAGGCCGGCTCCTCGGCCGGCGGCAGCCCGAAGATCACTGCGCCGCGCGTGGGGAGGAGCGAGCGCGCCCGTCAGCCAGAGCGCCAGCAGGATGCGCACCCGCGCGCGCGCGCGCACACACACACACATGCACCAGAAAAAGAAAAAAGCCCCCAAGCCCATGCACGTACTGGAGGCCACGGAGAAGTAGCGGCTCCGGTCGGCGATCGGCAGCGCCCCGCCGGGCGGCAGCCCCGGGTACGCCCCCAGGACCAGGGCCGACTCGATGGCATTCCGTGCCAGGAGCATCTCGCGGCCGGAGAGCCGCGCGTCGCCGGCCCCCGGGCCCGCCCGCGCGGCCAGCCCCCCCAGCACTCGGGCCAGGCCCAGCACCAGGTCCAGGCAGAGCAGCGCAAAGGCCCACGCCTCGTCCGGGCCGCCGCCGGGCACCGTGCGCACCGTGTGCTCCGGGTCGTCGGCCGCCGGGGGGGGATTCAGCAGCCGGGCAAGTGCCTCGCCGGAGCGCAGGCCGCCGGCCGGCTGCAGCAGCCCCTCCGCCAGGGCACGCAGGCGGTCTCGCGGCCCGGCCGAGGACCCCGCGCGCCGGGCCGTCGGCAGGGCATCCAGCGCCCGGCGGCAGGCCGCGAGATCGGCCCCGGCCAGCGGCTCCGGCAGGGCCCCCGGGCTGAGGGCATGCTGCCGGGCCACCTCGGCCCCCAGGCGGCGCATGCGCCCGGCCAGGTGGCGACGGAAGGTCCCGCGCCAGTGGCCGGCCCCGGCCGGCGGGGCGGCCGTGTCCCCGGTGCCGGGCTTCTCCGCGGCCACCAGCGCGGCCAGGCGCTCGCCCAGCAGGTGGCGCATGAGCACAAGCTCGCGCTCGCCGAGCCCGACCAGCCCGGCATCATCAAGGTGTTCCATCGGCCAACGACGAGGGGGAAGCGCAAGGGAAGAGCACGAAGGAGAGGGGATTGGGGTGTCCGAGGGAGGTCGGCACAAAGGCACACATGGAGAGGGATGCATGTGGCGATGGGCGGGGGGGGGGGGGG